GATGTCCTGTAGCTCGGTATATGAGAAAAATATATCCTTATTATTATAATTATAACAATTATATATTATTATAAGATATTTATCTTATATATATCCCACTTCTACGATTTGATTATTTGTTTGTTTAAGATTAATCTTCAAAGTCAAATGAATTTGAAACGAAGCATTTCACACCTACATATTCCAATCATTGGTGTTGTAAGAAAGCTTGGCGCAGTAGCTCCATAAAATTATTTCTGTTATCGCAAACAATTTTTTATAAAACACAACATACAAAAATCGTTATTTTAAATAACACATATTTAAATAACAGTTTTTACTGAAATATATATTTTGTTGTATTTTTAAATTGCCTTCAAATTATTTATATTTATATATGTGAACAACTTATTTGTCTATCTAGTTTTTAAATTTTGTATTTGTAGAAAATTGTTAATGCCCTTGATGAAATCAAGGAGAAAAAATGTGAATCTGAAATCACTTGTTATAATAATGGATGAGATTGTTTGTTTGCACAAATTATTAACGTGAAGCTATCGAATTGCACGAATTCCGCTCCTCGTGACTCCTTCGAACTTAAGTTCACTAGGACATGAATAATAAAATCTTGTGTAAACACTTGAAGTGGTTTTTGATAATCCATTAAATTGAATTTAATATCGAGAATAACAAGAGGGATGAGTGTATAGAAAAAATGCCTTAATTGAAAAGTATAATTCATCATAGCCTTAAGTTTGATTGAATACAAGCGATTAATAAAAAAAAAAATAATGAAAATATGAGTTAGATTTAGTAGTATTTCATAATTAAAATAAACAAAAAAAATGATTTAAAAGTTGTAAAAATTAACATTGGGAAAATAAAAATTACTTTAATATGTAAAGTATTTAATCACTTTGAATGCAAACCACACGTAAAAAAGGACAAAACTCTCAAGAGCTCAAGATATTTACATTAAATCAACACCAAGAGTTCGTATCTACAGAATTAAAAGTAATGTAATTACACTTGTGTACCAGTTTTATTATAAAAACTGGTCTTATGACTGTCACACGTCGAGGACAGCTTGCGTCTCAACAACTTCCTGTAAATATCCTTTGTCACGTATCTATTTGCTTGTGTTCTAGTGTTCCACATCCCAACACGAGTTCCTAACTAAGCGACGGAGTAGTACTCATGGAAATTGGTAACTAATTACTCAAGTATTATTGAAAATCATTGAATTGAAAACATATAACGAGCTTAATATCAAAAATTGATTGAGCACACTTCGCAATTTGACCACAATTCTTTTGAGCTTAGCGATTTCACCCCATTGTCCTTGTGGTGGGTAAACTGGCGTAGTGGGAAACACAAAAACTTTTAACCATTCAAATGGTAATAAAATGATTATTTTGCCCGAAGGTGTAAAAAAACAATAAAAAGCCACAATGAATAACTTAAGCAATAACAATACATACACGAAAAGCAAAACAAAAAAAAAATAGTACAAAAAATTACGCCTTGTTCCATGTACAAATTATACAAAAAAAAAACACTAACATATTCTTATACAGTGTAAGAGTATAACAGCTTTTGGTTTAAGTGTGCTTCTGAGAAGTGAAGCGTGCGGGACAGATTTTATAAATTGAATTGTAATATTAATTTCATATTACATATATATTTATTTAATATAAATATAATTTATATTTAATTAAGAAATATTTTTATAATATTTAGTATTATTATTTTTTATAACAATTTTACACTCAGTTAAAATTTTATTTTCTTTACATTCAAATATATGTACATACTTATAATTTACCTTGTAGCAAACAAACTACTGTGCTTAATACTCATTTTATATTCTCATCGCACACATGCACACATACTTATGCGTTTACCATTTTCTTTCAATTTCAGCCAATAGAAACGATTTATGAAGTGAAACGCCAATAGTAGCATCTTAAGACATTCAGTGAGTGTTTCTTCAAGTTGTTTTGATTTTTAAAAAGATTTTTAAGATGAAAATGTTCAAGATTTGGCGCCAAGAATGCAAAATGTTTACATACGTTAGATTTAAAAATAACTAGTATATTTAATATTAAATTATTAATGATTTGTAAAAATAACCTATAAATTTCATACTAAATTATTTATGATTTGTATAAACTTCTTAAAATATTTGTTAATACATAAAATTGTCTTAGAGTGAATAACTTCAATGCCAATATGAACAATATGAAAACAATATGAATACAAAAATGTGTATGAAGCTCATAAATTAAACGAATATAATCGCAATTTAATTACACAGGAAAGTAACTATTATGTAGGTTAGGTTGAAGCGGCCTTGTGCACACAAGTCCAATTGAGCTCAAATGACGATCCGTTTTAATGCCAAAGGTTATCGTTGTTACCTCCAGTTAGTGTACCAACAACACCGAAAAATTAAAGTTTCCCCATTTAAGTTAAAGAAAACCAACATGATAAGTCCATAATTTAGTTCAATTTTGTAGAAAAACAGCTCTGTCAGATCGGTAAGAAAAGCGGCCCAAAAATTTTAAATCTTCTTCTTGTCAATTATAGAATTATTGAGGTGGAATACTGACAAGTGAGGTGGAGTACAGTTTCTTGGGGGTTACGTTCCCACGTTGCATGATATCGAATTAATTAAATATTTCTATTTTTGTTTAATTATATTTGATTTTAATTATTTAGTGTACCAACAACACCGAAAAATTAAAGTTTCCCCATTTAAGTTAAAGAAAACCAACATGATAAGTCCATAATTTAGTTCAATTTTGTAGAAAAACAGCTCTGTCAGATCGGTAAGAAAAGCGGCCCAAAAATTTTAAATCTTCTTCTTGTCAATTATAGAATTATTGAGGTGGAATACTGACAAGTGAGGTGGAGTACAGTTTCTTGGGGGTTACGTTCCCACGTTGCATGATATCGAATTAATTAAATATTTCTATTTTTGTTTAATTATATTTGATTTTAAATAAATTTAGGTTGTTTAAGTAATCTTTTAATTTGAACAGTGATGTTCTCCTGATTTGTTAATTGTATCAACTATTTATTTAATATAAATATTTAATATATAAAATAAAGGACATCAAATATTTTTAATACTTCGCATAGCCAGCGGTTGGTAATGCTCTGAATTTTGAATTGACTTCCTACATTTCCAAACTATAGAGAAGTAATGATTTTCACAAGAGTAGTAAATTTGGGCTGTTTGGGTTTTAGATACTCCGTAATGTGATATAGGCGGCTCATGGTTTTGCAAGCTGTATTTTGTATCGTCAACAGCGTTATAGTCAATAGAGATGTTACTTTCCAAGTAACAAAATAAAATGGTTTTCTGAATCAAAGAATCATTGATAATAAAAACTTGTGGTCTTTAATTTTTTAATGCCAGCGTTTTGTTTTCTCGATATTTTTATATAGTGCGATACAGACTATCTTCTATACTATTTTTTGAGATTTTGGACCGCATTTACTTTTACATATATGGTATTCATTATTGTCTGTAAGTAGCGCATTATAATCTCTATAATCGAAAACGCTTAGATATTCATTGACTTTTTATAACAATTTTTTTTGACCGAAGCAACAAAAAGTAGGACACAATTAGTTGGATGCTAAATGAGAGGAAAAAATACACAACGTTTTCTTATTCTATTAAAGGGAATATCAAGTAAAATATATTTAATAAGCAGGGTGGAGTTAAGGTCTCTATATGATTACTTTACAGGACACTGCAGCCTTTGATATGACTTAAATAAGTTGGAGCCTTTTGAAATTTATGTTTCTCGTCTTCGTGATAGGGACATGGAAAGTTCGAAGAATATTATTTGCAAATATCCAGCTCTTGGCAGACAAAAACTTAACTACTTAGCTGACATTGTTAAGTTTCCACATAAATTATGGAACATCAACCCTTAACTGTTCAAATTTATAAAACGCCTAAACATACAAGGTTAAGGATCAAAGCTATCCATAACAGATCTTATCAGATCACAGTGCATTTTGGATTTTAATAATATTAAGAGCTACAAAATATTTGATAAAATGCTAGAGTTCTGAGCAATTTATATATATATAAATCAAAACAAAGATTATTGTTGTTTTTTTTATATAAAGTGCTTAGATTCACATATACATATATTTACAATAACATATTTAGTTAATAATATTTTATAGTTCTATTGATAAACACTATTTCTAATACGTAATGTAAATTATTCTTAAACAGTACCTACTAGTATCCGTCCGTAAATTGTTCCGTCGTCATTTGTCAATAATATTTTTAACTGTGCTCATATAGAGCTCTTCAGTATTTTTAGAACATTTAAAGTATATATAGTATATATCAGAGCACATCCTGTTATATTTCTTAGAAAAAATTGTTTTATAAACATTGAGAAATTTTAAATATATTTACACTCAACTTCCATAATATTATATTGTGTGACCCAATTTTGTGTTGGAGGTGCCTGATGTAAACAAAAAAAAGGATATATCTCGAAGAATAATCGCTTTAAATAATTTCAATTTGAAATAAATTTAAATGAGAATACAAAAAGTGAATAGAGAATACAAAATTCACCACAAAAAAAAACAAAATTTGTTTACACTCATAAATCACTTGAGTAACGCTAAACATTAATAATCCAAATCCACCAACCAAACTGAAACAATGCATGAAGTAAATGTGGCCATTAACCAATCCTAACCACCACCAACACCACTACCAGCATCTGTTTTGGATTGGGAAAGAATAAGAAAAAGTACTTGAGTACCAGAGCAATAAATACGAAGCGGCGAGGCACTTGTGAGCGCGCACACTCTGCTGATGAGCAATTAGAGGGTACGTCAATGATCCGTGGTATTTAAAGAGCAGGAGCAGTGGTGAAAAGTCGCATTCGTCTCGCATAGTTCAATCCATAGAGACTTGTACGCAGAGTACTCAAAAAAATAGAGTAAAATAACAATTAAAAATATTCAATATTCAATATTTATTGCTACGGCTAAGTAAAATGTTAACAAATATGGAAAGTGCTAATAGTGCTATATCGGGACTCAGTAAAACACTCACAACCCCATTTTCTATAAATGATATTTTAACGCGAAATAACAATACACTTAATGGTTCGCATTTAGAGCATCGTCGTTTATCCGGCGGTTTGGAATCTGAAACGGATCTTTTGTCCATTAAAGTGAATCGACGAAAATCGCTTGAGGAAAACAATTCCGAGAATTGTTGTCGTAACGCGGGTGACATAAATCTTTATAGTAAATTGGCAACACAGTGTGCTATATCGCCGCCGGATCGTGTGAATCACAGTCGCGAAATTAAAATGAATAATGTGGCAAGCAGCGAATACATTCAGTATTATTCTGCCTTGGATAATAATAATCACACCGATTTTATGCAACACAAATTGGGTAATTTTTTTGGGACTAATAGCAATGTTCTAAATATGGGGAATGGAAATAATCGTGATTGTCATCCAATCGATATGAGAAGGTGCACAAACAATGATTCCGGTAAGCAACAGCTTCACAATATTTAATGTAACTCTAAGAGTAAAATATAACTGCAATACATTACATCGTTATTTAAATTTGTTAATTATAGTCACTATATTTGCGAAATAATATCTTTTATAATTTTTATTATTTCTATAATTTTTGTTATTTACAGACTGTGATTCTCCACCACCAGCTATTTATGGTGTTGGCACTAGTGACAGTTCACTTACCGATGAAAATTCTGCTATTAATCGTAAGAAGCGTTCACGTGCCGCTTTCAGTCATGCACAGGTTTTTGAACTAGAACGGCGTTTTTCCCAACAGAGATATCTAAGTGGACCTGAACGTTCAGAAATGGCCAAAACCTTACGCTTAACTGAAACTCAAGTTAAAATTTGGTTTCAGAATCGTCGTTACAAGACCAAAAGAAAACAAATTCAGCAACATGAAGCTGCGTTACTGAGCGCTACCAAACGTGTGCCCGTCCAGGTTTTGGTAAGGAGTGAAGATGGTAGCGCTGCTTATGCA